TAGAAGTGCGATTTGAAAAAGCACTTACCACAACCGTTAATTGTATCGTTTACGCCGAGTTCGATAATGTTCTAGAAATTGACTCCTCTCGTCAAATCATCGTTAACTTTGCCGGTTAAATGACAATTGTCGACAAATAATATTTCACAGCTTTACGGTACATACATGCTTTATTTTTACCCCACCACTACATATTTTACCCGTCGCCATTTTCTTGCGTAAAGTCCTCCGAAAAGAGAGAGATTCAGTTTCACTCGAGACACGGACATCGACGCTTCGCTTGAAAAAATAGAGAATGCATTTTGAACTATGGATCTGGCCATCGACATACAAGGTTTGTCACAACAAGCGATGTCAACGGAAAGTTTATTCCGAAAGAAGTCGCAGTTGTCGCGATTAACGCGGCGATCGCCGGACACTGGATTATGTCGCCACCTTATCCATTTCACGATCTACCCGAAAAGGCAAGACGTGAGAATAACTGGCTTTCGCGAAATTATCATGGAATCGAGTGGTTCGATGGTGAAACCGATCTCAAATGTTTCACGCTACATCTGCGAGAAATTACGCGACAAGTGCGCTACATCTACTGCAGAGGCGTGGAAAAGGCTCGTTGCTTGAGTCAACTACTTTCCAGAAACATATATAATCTGGAAGAAATTTCTCCACCGTTCAAAAGTTTACCGGAGCCCCGAGAGTACAGACAACGCTGCTCGCATCACAGATTTCGTGTTTCGATTACGGACAAAATTGCTTGTGCGTTACGTAACGCTTTTAAATTGAAACGCTGGTTATCTTGCGAGACAACAGCGAATGCAGCAGCAGCAGCATCATCGGTAGTAACAGCAACAGCATCGACTCGAGCTACGATACTATAAATCTCTCCCACGTAAATTTGGACACAAGTGACGACGACGAGGGTGAAAAAACCGACGGTGACATCACTATAAAAATAAAACAGTGGCAAAAAAATAACGAGACAGAAGAGAAAGAGGAAGGAAAAATAGCAAAAGCCTATTATTCAGTAGCGGGTGTAAGAAAAGAATACATCTTCAATAACGAGCCAATGATACGTCCGTCTCTATTTAAAACACTAGTGCGACAACTACAGACTACCGCCTTTAGACTCCAGATTCTTCTTACGCCTTCGTCGGAATTTCACTACGCATCGATGAAACACCGTAGCACTACAAGGAACACTCTCTCAAACTTGCGGACAATACTGTTGTGTATTTTTATATTTCATGTGTAGCAGTATTTTTTTTTCCTTCGAAAAAATATTAATAGATAGTAGAGCCTCTACCTGAAACTACAAAAGAAAACTCCAATATTTTGACGATTCAAGACCATCTTACAAATTTTTCCCTTGCCATCCCTTTGAGATCAATAACCGCTATTCAAGTTGTTGATGCATTATTAAAATATTTTATTTGTACATTTGGAGCACCTAAAGTAATATTAACCGATCAAGGAACAAATTTTATGAGTAATTTAATGAAAATATTCGCTAAGCAATTTAAAATTAAACAATACAGAACTACAGCTTTTTATCCACAAGCCAACGGAGCTTTGAAACAATCGCATCTAGTATTAGTTGAATATTTGAAACAATATGTAAATAAATTTACAGAATGGGACAAATTATTAGAATTTGCAGCTTTTTCATATAATACAAGCACTCACGAATCAACTTGATATACTCCATACAAGTTGGTATTTGGCAAATTAGCCAGACAACCATCCAGTAAAATAACAAATGAAACAAAAAGAAAAACGTACAATAATTATTTATATCAATTAATGACAAATTTTCACGAGTTACAAGAATTAGCTCGAAAATGTCTAATCGCATAAAAAATAAAGTCTAAATATTATTATGATAGAAAAATAAATCCTCAAGCATTTCAAGTAAATGATCAAGTTTTCCTTTTAAGTGAGCCAAAGAAAGGAAAATTAGGCGATCAATATTCAGGGCCACATATTATAACAAACATTTTATCTAACGATAATGTCAAAGTTTTTGTCAAAAGAAAACTAAGAATTGTTCATGCTAACAAAATTCGTAAAACGAAACATTAAGAGATTGAACATGTACCGCGAAACATTTTCAATCTCAGATTTACTAATGATATCTTTTATATTGTATTTAAAACAGATGCGGGCAATAATCTGCCTAACTGTCATCGGAATTCTCTCCGTACGAGAAACCTTCGGAATACTCGGATATGATTGTGGAACAACGAACTCTAATATAACGACCGTATCACTATTAGATATAGGAGAATGCAATATACCACTAATGGAACCGCATGTAGAAGGAATAAGTATTCAGTTATTGCAATTGTCAAAATACGATTCAACCAATGTAATTCAATGTAAAGTTTCTATTTCACGAACGATTCACTATTGCGGAATGCATTCTCATGTAGCAACTGTAAGTAATGCGCATGCAGAATATATAGTCGACACAACGTTAGATCAATGTAAAAATATGCACAGAACGGGCATACTAAGCCTAAACGTAAATAAGGTAATCCACGGATTAAAAGTAAATCAGACGACATCGCGACCCATCACTTTTGCGGGGTCTGCATCGACAGATGGAAAATGTTCAGGAGTAGAATATTCAGATCCTTATGGTACGTGGCAAGATGTGGTTGTACAAGGAATAGTAACAGTTAGCTTAAGTACTCATCAAGCAGTAATTAATATTGAAACGAATCAAATCCATTTAAGAACGGAAACTGTTTGTCAATATGTAGACGGTAATTGTATAGATATTGAAGGAAGATATACTTATTGGGAAACTATACCTAATGATTATTGCAAATTCAGTCATTACGACGTATTGTACGAAGGAAAGGCTAAGAAAATGGTTAGCGAAACGAATGATAAACTACAAATACTATATTCCTTGTCGACACAAGATGTCACATTCGCACTTACGCGAATCGGCGAAGAGGTTCTTTGCGGATACACCCTAATTAAAACAGAACACCCAAAACTTGTAATTTTAGAAACAAATAAAGGAGATTCTTT